CCCTTTCATCCTCACTCTGCCCCCCTATCATCCCCATTCTGCCCCCCTCACACTCCCACTCTGCTCCCCTTTCATCCTCACTCTGCCCCCCTATCATCCCCATTCTGCCCCCCTCACACCCCCACTCTGCCCCCCTCTCAACCCCAATCTGCCCCCCTCTCATCCCCAATCTGCCCCCCTCTCATCCCCAATCTGCCCCCCTCTCATCCCCAATCTGCCCCCCTCTCATCAACAACTCTGCCCCCACCTCTCTTCTCTCTATTTTCTCTCCCTCCCCCCCCACACACTGTTGAGTTTCCACAACACCCGTGGCCCGAGCTGCGATAATGGCTCACGGTGGGTGCTGACATATCCCCAAGGTCGGTGATTGCGCGCGTTTGGGTGTGCGGGGAGCGGTAGTGTAGCGGTTAGCGCGCTGCGCTGCGAAATCCGCCGACTCCCGCTCACTGCCAACACCGGTGACTGTTATCTGAACCGGTTCCTGGGCCTCCTCTAGGTCGACTCAGCCTCAAAATGTGTACCTGGTGCGGTGTGTAAAAAAAAAAATCAGAACTGGGGGAGACAAAGGCGGCCCGGCATGATGCTCCATGCTTACCCGACCCCCCTTCTGTGCCATGCCGGACTTAATAGGTGTCTCGCTTACAACACCCAACAGTCTGTTACAAACTACACGGTGGGGGGGGGGGACCACACCACACCACATTCAAGCTCCCTTTTGGTTAACTCCGTCTCTCCTAGGCCGTCCCTTTGCCTGGTGTCTTCCCCCAAACACAATCCCATGACCGCATTGCACAAGGCACCGTTGACAGGCAGTGGGGGGGGCTCTGGGAGTGCTGGCCCATTGGGGGGCCCTAAGCATGCGTGCATTCTTGCCTCACCCTCCCTTCGGTTTATTATCGCCTCGTGAGACGTGCAAGAGATGTACGTGTGTTGAACTTGATTCGCACCGTATGTAGCCAACCGCGCTAATCGTAGGTGCGGATGGGACTGTAGTGAGATGAGGGGTGATACAGGCAAGGCAGGAGGTTATTAAAATGTCAATTCACTAAGTTTTAATATTCATTAGGATCTGAATTCGAGCTGATATTTGGTTTAAATATTTGTTCGTGAATCTGATGCCCTTTCATTTCCTTGGGGCCCTAAGCTTTTGCTTAGTTTGCTTATGTCCAGCGCCACCCCTGGTGGTCAGGGCGTGGGACAGGTCAGGGCATCGGACTGGTCAGTGGACGGGGTCACGGAGCGGGACAGGTCACGGAGCGGGACAGGTCAGGGCATCGGACTGGTCAGGGGACGGGGTCAGGGCGTGGGACAGGTCACGGAGCGGGACAGGTCACGGAGCGGGACAGGTGCGCGAGGCAGCAAGGATCGGACACCGATATTGCTTTACACGTTTTTTTTATTGCGAAAGGTGGACACGCGGACGGAGGGTGGACACTCTTAAGTGTGTGGGTGGACACGCTCCGTTCTCTGCCGCCCGTCGCCTCGCCTGCCTCACTATGCCTGACGCGTCGCACCTGCGGCCGGCGCGGCCCCCGGAACTACGCGCACAGCGACTGGGCTATGACCGACGAACGGGACACACTCTACACGCGGAGGCTCGCGAGGGCCCGCGAGCCGGCACGCACACTGCACATGGAACACATGGAGATAGACAAAATAGATGTGTGTGTGTGCGCGTATATATCTGAAAAGCTATTCTCTCAAATAACGGCATGACACGAACTCCGTGCGGCTCCTCCCGTCTTGCTCCTTCGGTGTCCCCCCGCCCCACCCCCCCCCCCCTCTATGTCTCCCCATTCCCAGGGTCCTCACTCTAACCTCCCCCCACCTCATTACTCTCGGGTCACTGAGATCGCGAATGGTTTCACAAAATGAACAAAAAAACGGAACAGAAGCGGGACCCCCCCCCCCCCCCGACGAAGAGGTGGGTTTAGTTGCAGGGTTATGGTCAGTGATAGAGGGTTGGTACTAGTAGCTGGTTGGTTAGGGGTCAGTGATAGAGGGTTGGTACTAGTGGCTGGTTGGTTAGAGGTCAGTGATAGAGGGTTGGTACTAGTGGCTAGTTTGTTAGGGGTTAGTGGAAGAGGGCTGGTGCTAGTGGCTGGTTGGTTAGAGATCAGTGATAGAGGGTTGGTACTAGTGGCTGGTTGGTTAGAGATCAGTGATAGAGGGTTGGTACTAGTGGCTGGTTGGTTAGAGGTCAGTGATAGAGAGTTGGTACTAGTGGCTAGTTTGTTAGGGGTTAGTGGAAGAGGGTTGGTACTAGTGGCTGGTTGGTTAGGGGTCAGTGATAGAGAGTTGGTACTAGTGGCTGGTTGGTTAGGGGTCAGTGAGACAGGCTGGTACTAGTAGCTGGTTGGTTAGGGGTCAGTGATAGAGGGTTGGTACTCGTGGCTGGTTGGTTAGAGGTCAGTGATAGAGGGTTGGTACTAGTGGCTGGTTGGTTAGGGGTCAGTGATAGAGGATTGGTACTAGTGGCTGGTTGGTTAGGGGTCAGTGGAAGAAGGCTGATACTAGTAGCTGGTTGGTTAGAGGTCAGTGATAGAGGGTTGGTACTAGTGGCTGGTTGGTTAGATGTCAGTGATAGAGGGTTGGTACTAGTGGCTGGTTGGTTAGATGTCAGTGATAGAGGGTTGGTACTAGTGGCTGGTTGGTTAGAGGTCAGTGATAGAGGGTTGGTACTAGTGGCTGGTTGGTTAGATGTCAGTGATAGAGGGTTGGTGCTAGTGGCTGGTTGGTTAGATGTCAGTGATAGAGGGTTGGTACTAGTGGCTGGTTGGTTAGAGGTCAGTGATAGAGGGTTGGTACTAGTGGCTGGTTGGTTAGATGTCAGTGATAGAGGGTTGGTACTAGTGGCAGGTTGGTTAGAGGTCAGTGATAGAGGGTTGGTGCTAGTGGCTGGTTGGTTAGAGGTCAGTGATAGAGGGTTGGTACTAGTGGCTGGTTGGTTAGGGGTCAGTGATACAGGGTTGGTACTAGTGGCTGGTTGGTTAGAGGTCAGTGGAAGAGGGCTGGTGCTAGTGGCTGGTTGGTTAGAGGTCAGTGATAGAGGGTTGGTACTAGTGGCTGGTTGGTTAGGGGTCAGTGATACAGGGTTGGTACTAGTGGCTGGTTGGTTAGAGGTCAGTGGAAGAGGGCTGGTGCTAGTGGCTGGTTGGTTAGAGGTCAGTGATAGAGGGTTGGTACTAGTGGCTGGTTGGTTAGGGGTCAGTGGAAGAGGGTTGGTACTAGTGGCTGGTTGGTTAGGGGTCAGTGGAAGAGGGCTGGTGCTAGTGGCTGGTAGGTTAGAGGTCAGTGATAGAGGGTTGGTACTAGTGGCTGGTTGGTTAGAGGTCAGTGATAGAGGGTTGGTACTAGTGGCTGGTTGGTTAGGGGTCAGTGATAGAGGGTTGGTACTAGTGGCTGGTTGGTTAGAGGTCAGTGATAGAGGGTTGGTACTAGTGGCTACCGGCTAAGGGTAGGGCTAGCATTTGATTGGCCAGTTATCTCCAACACAAACCCCATGTCCATCCTTAAATGATAATAAACGCCCGTTCTTGTTTTTGGTTTCATCTTGTTTTGTTTCTGAGCCCCGAAAGGGCTGCTCCGGCTATCGGCAATTTCCATCTTGCCAATTTCGCAGCTCCCCCAAGGCTTGGAGCAAACATAATCAGAATTCCGTTCTGTCTCCCCACATGAATAAATGTGTTTTAAACCATCAACCTGTTTGATTTACAGACCAATATCAAGCGGCATTTGTTTAATGAAGACAAATCCGGACCGGTTTTGACCTTCTGTGGGTCTCATCAACAGGGTCAGGCTTGTTCCAACAAATATTGCTGGGCAAGAGCACTCCATATAAACTATGGGACCGCCGTTCCCAGCTCGAGGGACCTCGAGGGACCAGCACGACCCCAGCACCGCGAGAACAATGCGGAGGTGTGGCCACCGGGCCATTGTGGTGCAAGGTGACCGCGAGTGGCAGGTGACCACGAGTGGCAGGTGACCGCGAGTGGCAGGTGACCGCGAGTGGCAGGTGACCACGAGTGGCAGGTGACCACGAGTGGCAGGTGACCGCGAGTGGCAGGTGACCACGAGTGGCAGGTGACCACGAGTGGCAGGTGACCGCGAGTGGCAGGTGACCACGTGTGGCAGGTGACCACGAGTGGCAGGTGACCACGAGTGGCAGGTGACCACGAGTGGCAGGTGACCGCGAGTGGCAGGTGACCGCGAGTGGCAGGTGACCGCGAGTGGCAGGTGACCACGAGTGGCAGGTGACCACGAGTGGCAGGTGACCACGAGTGGCAGGTGACCACGAGTGGCAGGTGACCGCGAGTGGCAGGTGACCACGTGTGGCAGGTGACCGCGAGTGGCAGGTGACCGCGAGTGGCAGGTGACCACGAGTGGCAGGTGACCACGAGTGGCAGGTGACCGCGAGTGGCAGGTGACCACGTGTGGCAGGTGACCGCGAGTGGCAGGTGACCGCGAGTGGCAGGTGACCGCGAGTGGCAGGTGACCGCGAGTGGCAGGTGACCGCGAGTGGCAGGTGACCGCGAGTGGCAGGTGACCGCGAGTGGCAGGTGACCGCGAGTGGCAGGTGACCGCGAGTGGCAGGTGACCGCGAGTGGCAGGTGACCGCGAGTGGCAGGTGACCGCGAGTGGCAGGTGACCGCGAGTGGCAGGTGACCGCGAGTGGCAGGTGACCGCGAGTGGCAGGTGACCGCGTGTGGCAGGTGACCGCGAGTGGCAGGTGACCGCGAGTGGCAGGTGACCGCGAGTGGCAGGTGACCGCGAGTGGCAGGTGACCGCGTGTGGCAGGTGACCACGAGTGGCAGGTGACCACGAGTGGCAGGTGACCGCGTGTGGCAGGTGACCGCGAGTGGCAGGTGACCGCGAGTGGCAGGTGACCGCGTGTGGCAGGTGACCACGAGTGGCAGGTGACCGCGAGTGGCAGGTGACCGCGTGTGGCAGGTGACCGCGAGTGGCAGGTGACCACGAGTGGCAGGTGACCGCGTGTGGCAGGTGACCGCGAGTGGCAGGTGACCACGAGTGGCAGGTGACCGCGTGTGGCAGGTGACCGCGTGTGGCAGGTGACCGCGAGTGGCAGGTGACCGCGAGTGGCAGGTGACCGCGTGTGGCAGGTGACCGCGTGTGGCAGGTGACCACGAGTGGCAGGTGACCACGAGTGGCAGGTGACCGCGAGTGGCAGGTGACCGCGAGTGGCAGGTGCCCACCCGCGCCAGCTGTCACTCTCCCACGCCGAGCGAGAGCACGCACCAACGTGGAGAGAGAGAAGGAGGGAGTGAGTGAGTTTCTCTGTAAATTTACAGGTGCACGCATTTCCCCACGAATGTCCTGTTGGAGCGCACACGACACACAGACGCACGCGGCTTGGGATGCGCCACTTCGTGATAAATGGCATCTTCCGTTCTGTTGTCAGCACGTAAAAAATAATATATATTCTTGTCAGTCGCTCTCATGACTTCTCAGGCTCGTATTTCTCCGCGGCAATTGCTTAAAGACGCAAACTCTGGACAGGTTTCGCCTTTTGTGGGGTGGGGGGGGGGCGGATTATCAGCAAACGCAGGCAGCAGGCAAGGTAAATAAATTGAGTTGGACGACCGTCTGCCGGACGTTGCAGATCGTTAAGGCAGGGAATCGGCACCGTTTGATCTCCCCCGGTTCACGGGACGGGGACCCGGACTCGAACTCGCACTCCCAAACTCCCGAACTCCACAGAGACCCGTGCCACGTCACCGTTCCGTCACCACCTCGCACCGTTACCCCATCACTCCCGTTACCACATTTACACGTAACCGCATTTTCCACCCTCCGTTTACCACCCAGCTCAAATCTGCACAGGTGCTCCTACCTGTCTGAGCTGTCCCATTTGCACCGCTGCCCCTGCCTGCACAGCTGCCCTTACTTTCCACAGCTGCCCTATTTGCACAACCGTCCCTATCTGCGCGGCCGCGTTTCTCTGCAAGCGCTGCCCTTATCTGCCCGTCAATCAGCAGCCTCCCTCGCCTGCGCCTCTAATCCAGGCGCCTGTCACGCGATTAAGTGAAAGCGTTTCCCTGGCAGGCGAGGCGGAGGGGAGGAGGGAGGGAGGGAGGGATGGGTTCACCCACGGCATCTGTTGGGGCGGGGAGCGGGGGTGGCAGTGGGGGGAGGTCAGGGTGATGTGCCTTCTCAAAGTGCACCCCAAGAGCAGGTGTGCTCTCACAGTGCACCCCAGCACCAAAGAAGGCTGAAACAACAGCCAAGAAGCTGCTGCCTTACTGGGGAATCGCTGCACCTCAGCGGTGCAGCTATCGGACGTGTGCAGTAGGTACAACTGCATCGGGGCCCACGGGCCGAAGGGGCCCAGGACTATGTAAAGTGGGGGGGGGGGGGGGGGGGGGAGTTGGACTGACAAAGTGGTGGCCCCCTATCCTTCCTTGCGCCAGGGCCCACGCAAGCCACGCTACACCTCATCGCAAGGGTCACTGCGGCTTTGTGATCAGGATGATGAAGCTCACGATGACGGAGGTCGCAGTGACAGTCAGACTTGGGGGGGCGGGGGGGGTTAGGTGGAGGTCTCTCGCGCGCGGTAAAACAAGGATTTGAACAAGGTTGACTCTTGAAATCGCGTCAAAGGAACCGCAGCGGAAATTAACGCAGCACAGCGCAATGATAATTACATTCAAATCAAAGCTGATGAAGCATGAGGTGCCGTGACCCCCCGGTGACCCCGACGACCTCCGGTGACCCTGGAGATCCCCGGAGACCCCGGCGGCCCCTTGTGATCCCGCTAGGAACCACCTGGCCGCTCCTCGCTCACAAACTCCGGCACCTCCAGCCCCGAGTGCAGCGTGACCTGCGGGACACGAGCCCACGTGCGGAACGGGGTCAGCAGGGTGGACCGCGGTGACATCGGTGTGGCTTCAGCGCGGCGTGGATGCAGCGTGGCGTGCCGTGGCTTGGTGTCGGAATTTTGCAGCGTGGCGAGGCATGGCGCGGTGTGGCATGGGGTAGCGGTGTGAGTGGTGTGGTATGAAGCGGCATGCCGCAGTGTCAGCCTGCCTTGACATGGCACGACGTCGTCCGATGTGTGGCATGGTGCTGTGCCGTGTGGCATGGTGTGGTGTGGCATGGTGTGGTGTGGCATGGTGTGGCATGGTGCTGTGCGTGTGACATGGTGTGGTGTGGCATGGTGCGGTGTGGCACGGCTTGGTGACCTGCACGTTGCGGTTGAGGCTGAGCGCCGGGTAGAAGGTCCCCTCGAGGCCCTCGAAGGCGACCGATCCCTGCTGCTCCTCGTTGATGAAGAACGTGAGCGTGCGCTTGTTGAGGTCGAGCAGCACGCCCACGGTGGAGCCCTTCCCGATGCCGCCCTCCGCCCTGCGCCAAGCACCCAGCACACCAAGCATGTTGAATGCGAGATGAAAAGTGGGAATGCAGGGTGCCGCGTGCAGGGCGTGCAAGGTGCTGCTGTGTGTGCAGGGCGGCGCGCCACTCGCCTGCCGGTGTGCGAGTTGTTGTGGATGAACCAGCTGCGGTTGTTGTCCACGTACATGGCCCAGGCGCGATCGTCGCGGCCCAGCATGGCCTCGCGTGCCACCTCGACGCGGGCCACGCCGAAGGCCGGGTCGGGCCGCCCGTCGTAGCGGTCGAGCGTGAACTCCCAGTAGTGCGCCCCGCGCGTGAACCCGGCCGCGCCCAGCACCACGCGGTCGTCCGACGTGCCGCACGTGGCCGTCAGCCCGTCGTTGGACAGCACCATGTCGGCGTGCGCGCTCTTCCCGTCGAAGGGAAACCACGCCACTGCGGGACAAACACACGGCAGGCTTGGCGACGGCGGGGATGGTTCCGCTTGTCGGGGGCGAGTAGAGCCATAAACGGCAGTGCTGCCCTCGGCCAGAACCCCCAACCCGAATGCTCCCCCCCCCGCCCCCAGCCCCCATTCAGAGGCAGCTGGGAAGGCACTCAAGTTCGAGTTAAGGAGGCCGCCGCTGACAAGGCCGTTGACTCTGCCGCACGTCGCCCTCGCTTTCTTCTGCCACATCCAGCAGCATTTGGCCAGTTGACACCTGGCCCTCCAAGGTCGGTTCTTACGATCTCATCCCACTGATGGGGTTTAAAATTGAGGCTGAGGCTGTTGTTTGTACGGATGCCCCCCCCCCACCCACTTTTGCCGTGACCCTCACCCCCTTCTCCACATTGGGCGGTACCCCACGCCCCCCCCCCCCTCCTAGAGCCTCCAACGGGCTCGGGGCTTTGGGGGGACCGCGACAGAGACTCAAGGAAGCTGCTCCAGACCCCCAGCCTCCGGTTGTGAAGCCACGCTCGCCGCCACCACCCCCCACCCCCGCGCTGCCCGTCTCCGTTCTCAGCGAGCGTGCGCAAACAGGAGCCGCCAGACCGCACGCGCCCTCCCCCCGCCCCCCGGTACGGGAGTCGAACCCACGGCCACGTACCGTCCGAGGTGTGCAGCAGCACCGTCTTGCTGTATGGGCTCACGCCGGCCTTGTTGAACCCCTTGACGCGCGCCTTGTACGCGCTGCTGTAGTAGAGGCCGTCCACGGTGCACATCGTCTCCCGCCCCACGTAGATCTCCTGTGCGGCACACGCGCCGGTGAGGCTCGCGAGTCGCCGCCGGCACGGTTAGACACCTGCGCCGAGTGCCGCTGCGCAGCAAGTCGGCGCAGCAAGTCGGCGCAACCGGTGCCGTTTCGCGCGGACGGGGTGGAACGGGCGACCTGGGCCGTCACGCCGGGTGTGCGTGCGGCCCACCCGTCTAGCTGCGGCATCTGGGTACCGCCGACGTCTCTGCAAGGACCACCTGGGCCTCCCATCTTGTTGGTTCACCTGGGCTCATCTCGACTCAGGTGTGTGACAAGGTGGGGGTTACGCGGTGAGAGCGACGAGGTGGGGAAAATGAGGCGGATGAAGGTGGCGTGAGGAGGGATGGGTGAGGATTGCTGAGGAGGATGAGCGACCAAGGTGACTGGCGAGGTGGGAGGGACACGGGTGAGTGACGAGGTGCGGCGGCGGCGGCGGCGACGAGGACCCACCCTGAAGTCGCCGCCGCTGCCGTCGTCGAGCTCCAGCACGTAGCCGTCGAGCGGCACGGGAGAGAGCGGCTGGGGCCTCCACGCCAGCGTGGCCACGCAGCCCGCGAGGCGGCACTCCTCCAGCTGCAGGATGGGCGCCGCGGGCACTGGGGACACAACTGAGCACATCACTCAGCCAGCCGGGCGGCCGGGCGGCCGAGCCGCCGCAGGCCTCGACTCCTCCTCTGGCTCGCTGGCCCCATCGGTGGCGTGGTGTGGACGGAATTGGGGCCCTGGTGGGAGGATTAAACGTGCCCCAAGCCCGCCCACGCCCGCCCGGCCCCCAACCCTCCTCACTGCCACTGTCCAACTCACCCCTCACTTCCTCTTCGTAGCCCAGTGTCTGGGCCTCACCGGCACGTCGGCCCAGGTGCAGCTGGACCTCCTGCACACCCGATAGCCACGCCACCGGGCCCGATCCCTCCTAATCTTTCCTGCCCCCTCGCCCAGTGCTGGTGGGCTCAAGTGTCCCCTGGTTGGGAAAGGATTGCAGCTGTGAGCAGGGAGGGGGGGGTGGAGTGTGGTTCAGTAGAGCTGTCGTGTGGCCCACCATAACAGAGCGAACGTCGGAGGGCCAGAGACAGCAGCGCCCTAGCGCCAGCCCTGGCTACAAGGCTCACCTTGCCCACTGGTCAGTCAGGTCCATCTAGTGGGTGGCTTGAAACAAGGCATCCCCTTGCCTATCTGTGAGGTCCATGTGCTGGGATGACTTTGAACCGGGGCTCACCTTGCTTGTCGGTGAAGTCCAGCTGGTGGATGGCCTGCAGGAGGGGTTCGCTGTCCAGCACCAGCTCCAGGCTGCCCGCCACACGTGGTGTCAGGGCGCTGCTGCTCCACTGCTCGCTGTTCTGCACTATCCGCCGGGTCAGCGCCTCGGACACCTGATCAGCACAGGGGGCGGGGCCGGGGGGAAGGGGTGAGGGTTGGGGGTGTTGTCAGCCTCATCCACACGAGGGCATGGGAACCTTTCTCTTGATGAGGGACAAATGGGACTTTCAAAATCCTTGTCAAGCAAGCACACCGCACTCACGAATGCCACCTTAGCACCTGATTAGTGCGGCTAAGATGATTGCAGTGACGGGTAAAAAATATGATTTGCGGGCGGTTTCGAAGGGTGCACAGTGTGGATGATGAGCAGCATGGCTGGTAAGCGGTGTGGCCGATGAGAGTGGTGTAGACAATGAGAGTGGTGTAGACAATGAGAGTGGTGTAGACAATGAGAGTGGTGTAGACAATGAGAGTGGTGTAGACAATGAGAGTGGGGTAGACAATGAGAGTGGTGTGGCCACTGAGGGTGGTGTAGACAATGCGTGGTGTGGCTGATGAGAGTGGTGTATACAATGAGTGGTGTGGCTGATGAGAGTGGTGTGGCCACTGAGAGTGGTGTAGACAATGAGAGTGGTGTAGACAATGAGTGGGGTGGCTGATGAGAGTGGTGTGGCCACTGAGAGTGGTGTGGCCACTGAGAGTGATGTGGTCACTGAGAGTGGTGTAGACAATGAGTGGTGTGGCTGAGGAGAGTGATGTGGCTGATGAGAGTGGTGTGGCTGATGAGAGTGATGTGGCTGATGAGAGTGCTGTGGCTGATGAGAGTGATGTGGCTGATGAGAGTTATGTGGCCGATGAGAGTGGTGTGGCCGATGAGAGTGGTGTGGCTGATGAGAGTGATGTGGCTGATGAGAGTGATGTGGCTGATAGTGATGTGGCCGTAGAGAGTGATGTGGCTGGATGAGGGTGATGTGGCCGATGACAGTGATGTGGCCGCTGAGAGTGGTGTAGACAATGAGTGGTGTGGCTGATGAGGATGGTGTGGCCGAAGAGAGTGATGTGGCCGATGAGAGAGTGGTGTGGCAGATGAGAGTGGTGTGGCCGATGAGAGTGATGTGCCTGATATGAGCGTGATGTGGCTGCATGAGGGTGATGTGGCTGCCTAGAGATTGAACCAATCATCTTGAAATTTGATCAAGCCCGAGAGTGTGGGCGGGGTAAGGGGCGGGGTTGAGGAATGCGGGGGTGGGGCGAGGGGCAGGTAACGAGGGGGGTGGGAGTGCGTAAGGGGGTGGGGGGGCGCTGGGCGAGGTGTGGGTGTGTGTGGGTGGGGGGGTCACCTGCACGAAGCCCGCGGGGTCGTTCTCCTTCATCACCTCGAGGCAGAACTGCATGAGCCCCGTGGTCTGCCGCAGCTTCACGCTGCAGTGACTCATCTGGTCGCGCGCCACCTGCCGGGGCACACCCCACGGTGACGCTTTTGCTGAGCACCGCTGCAGCAGCCGCGCGGACTCTCTCTCTCTCTCTCTGCCAGCCGGAGCTTGCACGCAACATTCCACAATCCACAACCCTCCACCGCCACAACGCTCGCTTTAGCCGCTACACTCACACGGCCAAACTGCACTCACAGCTGCACCTCGCGCATATCGGCCACGCCGCTTAATTGTCAGCCACAACACTTTCTGCACATCGCCCAGGCCAAGTCAAGTAATTTTTTTTAAATTTAGCTTAAACACGTGGCGCCTTTCTGGCACAAATCTGCCACCCAATGAGTCACTCACCAGTTACTTCATCTCATCAGCCACACTGCTACTAACCGTCCGTTCCACTAACCCGCCACATCGCTCACAAGGCGCTGTACTAACCAGCCACAGTGCACATCAACCGCATCGCTCACCAGCTGTTGCACATAGCTCCTCGGCTTACCAGCCACAGTCTGCGTACACAAACACACCACTCACACAGCCTCATCACTCTCCTCCACATATCAGCCACGCTACATTCACCACACACTCTCTCTCTCTCGGCACGCCAATAACACTTACTCTTGCCTCTTGCGTATGACTGGCTGAATAGCTACTTATAGATCTATGTGCAGATTCGTTTGGCAGGAAATGGCTTCACTTGATGTGCGGTAGATGGCGTCAATGCTTCCTTCTGTTGAATGTTCACAGTTGGAGGTGGGTGTTAATATGCGGTCCATGGCCCGGTCATTGTTTCCATAGCAGCACGCAGAGCCCTCTCCGAATGTCCACCTGTATGTGAGTTGCAGTGTGTGGCTCTGCATTGGGACATGCGGACACGTGGTGCAGTGTTTTCAAGCTCGAGATTAAATCCCAGAGGTTATTTCGCGGGGACCGCCGGTTAGGCGGCTTGTTCGGGATTGCGGCGTCCTCCTCAAATCGTTTGCAATCTCTCCGAGGTGCCGATGCACCGGGTGTGCAAGGGCTCCGGACGAGCTTAAGGGGACGATTTTGCGCGATCTCGGAAGGGCGTTCGGTAGATTTCGTAAATCTACGCGGATTTCGTGGCAGATTTCTGTTGGCCTGCCGCGGTGCGGCTGTTTTCGTGGAAAAGAAAGAAGTCATTTGGGGGGGTTGCGGGATCTCGGGAGCCAGGAGGGAGAGATGTTTGACAGCGCAGACAATTCGGGGTGAAGGAGTCACCCCCCCCCCACCACCACAGCGTGTCGCGACAGCTCCTCGTGGCCGTGTTTAAGGCGGCGTCCCGCTGTTCGGGGTGGAGGTTCGCGTCCCACACGGGAGCGCTCCGCTGCGCGCGGCGGAGTGAACCCCAAGGCCGCAGAGAGAGAGAGATGATGATGACGAGAGAGTTCTCCTCGGCATTCGCCAGCCGGTTGTTCCGAGCGGACCATGTTGTTGTTGTTGTTTTTTTATCAATGGAGTTAAACCAACATCTCATTGTTGGGTTCATTCCCTCGATCTCTGCGATGCCAACCAAGGGCGTTGTGCGTTGTGCGTCGAGGACGATGTCGTGCCGCCGTGGATGGATGTCCGCGGCGTTTTGCGCGCCGCCTCGCCGACGCATAAATTGAACGGTGACGGCGCGAGAAGCTCAGCCCGGCGGGCGCCCATCATTCACGCCGCTCTTCTTGGCGAAGCTCGCCGAGAAATACGACCAATCACGCGGCGAACACCGCACACCGCTCACCCCGTCTCCCCGCTCATTCAACCACTCCCCCTCCCCTCCAGCCTCACATCCCACATCCACACCTCCCCCATATGCACCCCCCCCCCCACATTCACCTCACTTCCCCCCCTCCCCGATATCCACACCTCTCCCCCCCCCACACACCCACACCTCTCCCCCCCACACATCCACACCTCTCCCCCCCCACACACATCCACACCTCTCCCCCCACACATCCACACCTCTCCCCCCATATTCACCTCCCTCCCCTATATTTACCTCACTTCCCCCATAGCCGCGCCCCTCCCCCCAGATCGACACCTCTCCCCCCCACCACACACACCCCTCCCCCACACATAGACACCTATCCAATATCCTCAGTATCATCACACCTCCCCATATCCACCCCCCCCCCCCGACATTCACAACACTCCCCCGTAGCTGGCAATCCGTACGGTTTACTCGTATTCTTGTACAGGGAAATTGAGTTTTGTAGAATAATGTTGTGTCTATTTGTTTGTGTTTCTCCCTTGTGATGGGACTTTGTAGGATTCACGTTGAGATATAAAAGGGGCACGGGGGTGACCAATTCGGTCTGACCCGGTCTGTAGTAAGGTAGGGCACTAATAAGGTATTGACGGTAATGCTCCCACCACACACAGACCCCTCTCTCTCATCCCACCATATCCATAATCCCACCGCCCATATCCACCATCGCCACATCTCCTCCCGCAGTGTCCCCCGCCCGCCACCGCGGCCACCAACCCCGGCCCCGTGTCCCGGAATCGCTCGCTGCTGTCCGCCCGGTCGACCCCGCGGTGGCTGCCGCTGTCATGGGAACGCACCGCGAGTCGCTGACGCGGCGCGGGGATTAGAGAGGGGAGAGAGACGGAGAGAGGGGAGAGAGAGGAGAGAGACGGAGAGAGAGGAGAGAGACGGGGAGAGGGGAGAGAGGGGAGAGAGACGGAGAGAGGGGAGCAGTGGGCGATGGAGGAGGCCGTGTGCTCGGTGGCAGATGACGGAGAGCTCTGCATGCAGTTATGAGCTACCCGTCGGAGGCCGTTGGACTGCGAGAAGGGCTGCGTGCAGAACGAGAGTGAGCGAAAGAAACGATTTTATTTTAAAAAATAAATACGAAATAATGAACGAAGCAAAGTGCCGACTACACCGAGCATCTTCTTGTTCCCACTGATCGTAAAAGAAGAGAGGGGAGAGAGACGAAGAAAAGGGAGAGAGAGGAGAGAGAGGAGAGAGAGGAGGAGAGAGACTGGGAGAGACGGGGAGAGAGATGGAGAGAGAGGGGAGAGAGATGGAGAGAGGGGAGAGAGAGATGGGGGGGGGAGAGCGCCGGTCCGTGGCTTCAAAGCGCAGCCACGGGCTGCTGCTGTTGCCATGGCGACGGGGACCGCTCCTCTCGGCCTGCCCGGGAAGCTGCTGCCGGGCGGGGGGGGCCTCGCACAACAACGGGGGCAGCGCGGGGCAGCGCGGGCAGGGGGGCTGCCCCCTATAAAATCCGCCCGGTTGGGTGAATTTCTCGCGGGGGCTTCGTTACTCGTTGGAGTCTTTTCTTGTGGGCCCGCGAGCGTTACAAAACTCCCAGTGTACATCACGTCGTGAAGGGGTTGATTTGGCCCCGGACAGCTCCGGCTAAACTTGGGCTCACCTTTCGTGACTGCAGGGATTCATCTTCTAGGTTCTTTCGGTAAAGTCACGTAGAATGGAAGTAATAAAATAATAAAAATAAAACATAATAAAATAATTCTCACGACGTTTCGGCCACAACGCAAGCAGCCGTCCTCAGGTGAAGAACAGGTCTGTCGAGAAGACAGAGTCTGAAATTGTATTTTATTATGTTTTATTTTTATTATTTTATTATTTCCATTCTACGTGACTTTACCGAAAGAACTAAGAAGATTGGGCTCACCTCTCACCAATTTAGACTTTCACCTGCATCCCTCCCATCCACCCTCACCACAACACACCCGCAAGCAGACTCGACTTTCACCAAAAACCACGCTCTCGCCAAACCATCGCAGCACCACACTCACTCTCACCGCACCCCACTCACCACACGAGACTCACTCAATCACCACAACCTCGGCACCACGCCTCCAAAAAGATTACTCCGCACGGATTCATATCTCGTCAGCTCTCAGAAGCTAAGCAGGTGGGAACCTGGTTAATACTTGTAGATGTATGTGTGCTGAACTTCTATTCGCACCGTACCTAGCCGCCCGTGCTAATCGGTGGTGCGGGGAAGGACAACAAACTAACACTACACATACTTGGGTGGTAGGCTGCTTGGGGAATGCCAGTGGTTGTAGTCTTGGGCCGTACAGTGACCAGGAGATGGCAGTACAGCAATTAAACGTTTAAATCGATCTGTGCGGAGCTTTGAGTGTTAATCCCCCCTCGTTTACAGCCTGTTGACTGTCTTTCCTCTGGGCTCTCTACGTTGCTCCCACGTGAAGGCAAACTCTGTGTCACGGTGGTCGACACGTGCTCGCTCACACGTGTGACCCTCCTGAAAAAAACGAGCGAGACTCGACGGAGGATGAATTTGGTTCGCGACAACCTCACCGCTGCAAAGGGCCCGACGGTCCGAAATTTTCTTGCGCGGCTGTTACCACGACAACCGCCAAGGTCCCAGAGCGACTCTCGTTAATTTTGAGATTTTCTTTCTTTATTTTATACAGAGGACGGGGTGATGGGGGGGGGGGCCCTCCCGGGGGGCCCTCCCTGAGTGCTCGTTAGTGTGGCACGGCTCCAGGGGGTGCAGCCCCCATTCGTGATAATTACCTGCCCGTCACACGACTCACAGGGGCAGGGAAGAGTCGCTGCCAGAGTGAGTACGTGAGTGGTGAGGGTCGTTGGGATGAATGTGTGGGAGTTTGTGGTGACTGGGTGGTATGTGCGGGCACGGTGCTGGTCACCCACCCCCCTTTTCGTGTGCCGTGTCGGCTTTCATAGGTGCTGCTGCTCGCTAACAGCACTTGCCCCAACATTCTGTTAAGGTTATACGGGGGAGATATTTGTTATGGTGTGGGGGGGGGGGGGGAGGGTTCGTGTGGTTTTGGTGAGTGCGCATCTGGTGAGTGTGTGGTGCGTGTATGGTCAGTGTGAGTCTGGTGAGTGACATTTCACCTGGTGAGTGACACTGACAGTGGAGTGAATGTGTGCTGAGTGAGTGTGCGGTGAGGGCCAGTTCGGCGGGTCTGACGAGTGCGTGTGTGCGTGCCGAGCGTGGTGAGTGCGGGGGCTGGTCTTCACCTTCAGCTTGTGCTCCCTCTCGGCGCTCACTTTGGTGAGGAGCTGCGCCTTGCGCCGGTTGAGCTCCTCCACGAGGGCGTCGCACTGCGCCACGAGACTCGCCTCCAGCTCCACGCCGCTCTCCTGCAGCACCCCCCCCAGCACACACGGACACGTGACGGGGGTCACACGGGCACACGCGCACAAGAGCAGCCCCCGTGTAGCCTTAACAGACTGTCGGGGCAAGTGCTGTTAGCGAGCGCCTATGACGGCCGGCACGACGCATGAGGGGGTGGGTGGCCAACATTACGCCCGGCCGCCTTTTGTCTCCCTAGTGCCAATGTTTGCACACCGTACTAGGTACTCATTTGAGGCTGAGTCGACCTAGGGGAGGCTTAGAACTGGTTTAGATAATCGTCACTGGTGTTCTTCCGTGAGCGGGAATCGAACTCGGGTGGCCGGGTTCGTAGCGCAGCGCGCTAACCGCTACGCCACCGCTCCCCACACGGATCGCACAGGCACACACACAAACCACCGAGCACACACCCCATTCACACACGATCGATCTCACAGGCACACGCTACTGATCACACACAGGACTGATTACGCAGGCACGCAGCACCGAGCGCCCAGCGCCGATCACGCGGGGAGGCAGCACGGATGCACAGACACGCAGCGCTCATCGCACACTGCGCGGATCACACAGGCACAGAGGTCTGGAACGTGAGGCTGGTGGTTGGTCGTGGTTGGGGGGGGGGTCTGGGCCCCCTCCTCTCGCCATTGCCGTGTTCTGGGCCCTCAGCTGGGGCTGTAGGCGGGGGTCCGACCCCGTACGTGGCTCCTTTTAATAAAAGCTTAATCAATGAGCTTCATCCCGCGGGCGCTGCCGCTGTAAATTCTGTAAAATCCGCGCCCTCGTCTCCCCGTAGAATCTTCCTCCTCCCTCCTCCTCCTGCCGCCCCCTCCCTCCCTCTCTCGGCAGCGCGGGTCTCCCCCCGAGATGAGATGAGATGGCTCCGCGTCCCAGGCAATTAATATTCCACGCGAGCAAGCAGCCCGCGGCGAGGGGTGGCGCCTCCCTCCCTCCATCAATCCATTCATCCCTCCTTCCCGCTTTCACTCCCTCCCTTACTCAATTCATCCTTCCTCCCTATTTAACTCCCTTACTCCACTCATTTCCCTCGCTCCCTCCATTCCCCCTCCATCACTCCCACCACGTCCTCTCTTACCCCTTCTTACCCCTCCATAAATGCATTTATCACTTCCTCCTTCACTCCCTAACTCTCACCCTCCATCAATCCCATAATTCCTCCTTCCATTCGTCATCGACTCCCTCCTCGCTCGTAATTATATTCTTCAACCCATCCCTCCCTTCATCCTTCACTCTCTCAATGTGTCCTTCATAGAGTCATCCCGTCCCTCCATCGCTCCCTCTTTGCATCCTTCCCCCGCTATCTCGTCCTCCCTTCATCTCTTCCAGCCTTCCCCCTCTCTCCCCCTCCCTCCCTCCCCCGTTATCTATTCCGGCATCGCGGGCACCGCGGACAACACACGGGTGCTGGGGGCCGGCGCGGACTCCGCCAATCGCACGGAGCAGCTGTCCGCGGCCATGGAGATTTGGTGGAGGAAGGCGAGAAGGGGGGGGGGAAGAGGGGGTGGGGGAAGGGGGGGCGGGGCCCCCGTCTGTTTGCCCCCCCCTCGCCCCCAACTCCCCCACTCGGCTCGTGCCGCCCCCGCCTCCACGCGTCTCCCCATGCAGCCGTCTAATGCGTCACCCCCTTAACTCGCTACATCCCTAATGCGCTTCGCTTTAATTCGCTACACCCTAATGCGCCACCGCGCGTCGCTCGTCAAGTACCACCCCCGGGGAAGAAGGCCCTCTTGCACTTAGTTTGTCCGCCCCCCCCTGGTGTTTGATTGTCGGTCCCGTTGATTATATTATTCATTTATTTGTTTTCACCCGATCCTCAAGCGCGCGGGCGCGGACTCTGGTCGACGCAGAGAGCGGGGAGATGTCGGGGCATGCGAGAGATGTACGTGCGCATGTTGACCTTCTTTCGCACCTTACGTGGTAGCCAACCAAGCTCATGGGGGGTGCGAAATGGAGATGCTCGGAGTGTGGAAGATTTGGGCGGTACGGGAGGTATTGGAGATTGTGGGGGGGGAGGGGGGCTACTGGAGATGAGAGAGATACGGGCGGTACGGGAAATGGGTTGTACCGCCCTAACAAGCTCTCACTGTTAATCCGCGGCCACTTAAAGAGAGCCACTCGGAACGCGCCGTGATTCGGGCCGAGGCCTCATCACCCCCCCCGCATCCTTCCCCCCACGACGCGTGCCAGGGCGGCCCCCCAGCGAGATCTCCGATAGGGTGGTGGTCGGGGTTAGCGTCACGTTTAGGGTAACGTCTCAAGTGAGATTCATCCATGCGGTGTCGACCACCCCGCAACCACTCACCCCATCACTCATCCCACCGCTCACCCCTTCACTCACCCCATCACTCATCCCACCGCTCACCCCGTTACTCACCCCATCACTCATCCCACCGCTCACCCCATTACTTACCCCACCGCTTACCCCTTCATTCACACATCACCCATCTCATCACTCACCCTACCGCTCACCCCATCACTCACCCCATCACTCCTCCCATCGCTCACCCCATCACTCACCCCATCACTCACCCCATCACTCACCCTACCGCTCACCCCATCACTCACCCCATCACTCATCCCACCGCTCACCCCATCACTTACCCCACCGCTTACCCCTTCATTCACACATCACCCATCTCATCACTCACCTTACCGCTCACCCCATCACTCACCCCATCACTCACACATCACCCATCCCATCATTGACGCCGATGCCTGCTCCTCCACGCACCCCATTGTCATCTGTGTAACCCCCCCCCCCCCCACCGTCACCACCATCATTTACCCACAACGCCCACCCCATTACTTACCCCACCGTCCACCTCGCTACCCTCCCCACCACCCACGACATCATCCACCTCACGGCGCGTGACCCCGTTGACCCCGACGCTTCATTATCTCCGGGAAAGTGGGGTCCACGCTGCAGGAGGCGCGGGATCAACCCCTAATACCCCAGGTGGGGGCCCTCAGTGACACGGGCATAGAGCAGGGGCCTGGTCTCTCTGGGCTCTGCACGTGGCGGCTGTAAGCGGTGGTGGTTGTAGTGGTAATGACTGTATTGGTTGTGGATTTTTTTGGGGACGCGGTGGTGTAGTGGTTAGCGGACTGTGCTCCAAAACCCGGCCACCCGAGTTCGATTACCGCTCGCACGGCCAGCCACCATCAGTGGAGAGTATCTGAACTGGTCCAGGGCCTCCCCCTAGGTCGACTTGGCCTTAAATAAGCACCTGGTGCATCGGGCACTCGCGATACAAGGGCGGTTATTTTCTAGCCGTAAACGTCACGTGTACTGTAATGGGTTCGCGTGACCCCGACGGCAACTCGAGTCGCTCCTATTCACCGCAGTGTACAAAAAAATTATAAAATAGATTTTCTAACCGGATTGCGAGATATCATCAAATCAACCAGTTTGGGGGTGGGTGGGTGGGTGGGGGGGCAGTGAGGGGGTTGGGGGTGGTCAGAACCGTTCTGCTCGTGATAATAAAAATAATGAATCGGACGGGGAGGGAATGGCTCAGGCGTGCAGCGAGCGAGAGAGAGAGAGAGAGGCACGCGGCGGCGTCGTCCTAATCCCTTCGTGCAACAGCGGCGGCTGCGGCGGCGACCCCGCCGCGGTGGAGTCCCGCAGCCCCCCGCGGGGACGCGGAGACTCCCTCGAGGTCGCGATCGCTTCGCACAGCGCGGCTCGGCCTGGGACGGGGGGCTGCCTGGGACGGGAGGCTGCCTGGGACGGGAGGCTGCCTGGGAATAGCCCGGGGCTCTTGTAGGCTTGGGGCCGGCGAGGTGGCGAGCGGGGTGGCCGCGCCGAGGTGAATATTTGTGGTTCGCAGCAAAGAAATTCCTGAGTTGGGCACCTCTCTGTGTGAGGAGTATGTTCTCTCCCTGTTCTCGCAGTGTGTGTGTGTGTGATTGCGTGTTTGAGAGAGAGCGCGTGATTATGCCATGGTGGTGTCACGTTAACTTCCTCGTCTAGCTTGCAGGAGGTCAGGGGTTCGATCACAACTCTGATGCCTGTATATTTGGAGTTTGCGTGTTCTCCCCGTGATCGCGTGGATTTTTTTCTTCGGTTCCTCCGGGTTTCCCAATTAGAAACATGCATTGACGTTATTTACATTATTTTGCTGCTATAAATGTCCAAATGACAAGCCACTTTGTTGAGCTATCATTTGTGGCCAGCTCGCTTCTGAAAAACAAGTTAATACCTCAGTGGGCTCTAACTGGTAGGATGGTGGTGCTTTTTTTATTTGAGTGATTTGTTTATCTTTATTGTAGTTTGCACAGCTATCATGTTTCTGTACTGTTTGTTGTCACGTTCTTACCCGCCCCTACTGGACATTTGTGAAAAAGAGCTTCATAGTTCATCGGATCCCTCCAGGATAAATACATATTTTCATTCTGTGTGTGTGTGAATGTGTGGAGTTTGTATGTTCTCTCCCTGTTTCGCAAGGCTTTCATCTGCGTTCTCCGATTTCCTCACATAGCTAAAAAACACAACATACAATGCAACTGGTATTGGCCAAATATCCCATGCTGAAAAATTACGTGAACATTACTGACATCAGATCGCACACAGCAGCAACATTGCCCCCTGACTGCAACAACTTGGCAGGACCCTCCTAAAAAAGTTTCCTCGGTAAAAAAAAAAGGGTAAAAAAAAAACCCTCTTAAACATAATAATACATTAATTATTAATTGTCAGTATACCAATGGACTATTGAATCCATCTGCGCGGAGCTTGTCTTCGTGTGTGTGTGTGTGTGGTTCTTCTCCAGTTTCCTCCCACAATACGCAAATCGCTCATGAATGGAATTGACCGAACATCCAAATGTAGCATCAGCGCCTTCAGCCTCAGTGAGTGAGGTCATCCGGTGTGAAATATGAGGGCGTTAGTATCGGTGAACCTAACGGTGCCGCCCCCGTACCTGGATCTTGTGGCTCAGACTCTTGAGCTGCACCAGGAGCTCTTTGGCCTCCTTGGCCTTGCTGGAGAGGCTGGTGAGCGCGGCTGACATCTGCGTCTGTCGACACAAAGACAACCACACACACACGTCACATGGGGGCACACATACAGGAGTGGTGGTGGTCGTTGTGAGCTGGACAGTTTCCCTGGTGGTGCTGGCTGTGAGCCAGATATTGCAAATGGAAATTGGGAGCCAGGCAGTGGGAGCGGTACGGAGCCAGGCCTCCATGGTGTGTTGCCGGGAAGATCCCGAAAGCTCAGCGCTCTCCATCATTACCTGGCCCCGCTCTCCACAATCGATGAATCCATTTAAACGTCCCCGGCTCCCAGACTTCTTCATTAAGCGCGCCCACGTGATGCGCGCGAGCTGCATTTAAAGAGCAGCCTGTGAGACTGGTACCCTGTGACCGGACCCCCGGGCTCAGTCAGGATCTCCGTGGTCAGAACTCCTGGAGTCGGGTTCTGTGAGACCCCTGAATGAGAGTCATCTGAGACAGGATCCCCTTGCTTAGAGCTCCCAAGATTGTGGATCAGCTCACCCTAACAACACAATCTCCCCTGGTTCACAGGGCTCCACAGAGATGCGTGAGACGGTGACCCCCTTTCCGGAGGCTCAGAAACCACGAATGTCGACCTCTCAAGGCCCTGCTCCCTCCAAGGGCAGTCAAGGATGCCTCCTCTGCACACGCGCAGACAGGGTGTGCAATGCGTGCATTGCCAGCGCTTGTTTTTGCCGGATCAACATGATTGCCCCGCAATGCCCCCGCTAAGCCCCTGGCCATGCATAGCCACCACGGATTGAGTCCGCGAGCCACCCACACCACGCTGCTCATCAGCGGCAGCTGCCGGCCGGTGGGCTCGACTCCCTGCCCCGGGTCGCTCCCCCCTTCTCTCCCACCGTCCGTCCCTCGCGGAGGGGGGGAGCCAGCTGGCAGGCGCGCCGGCGCGGCTCTCCGTGAAATTCATCGCGAAATTAATTTATGGACGGAATGGGATGGAGGGAGGGCGGCGCGTCCCCGTGTAGACCCGACCGAGGGGGCGAGGTGTGGGGGGGGTAATCTCCTTCTCGGACCCCTTGGTTAGACTCGCGACCCCACCACAGGGGGCCCACTCGTGGGAGCTCGCCACGTTCGGGCACTCTGAAGTCGTCGCCGCGGTGGCGTAAATCCGGACTCGCGGCGCCCCGCCTAGCCAAAGTGGCGCTCGCCCGCGCCGTGTCCTAATGGAGCCGGCGACCGCGTGATGAAGGAAACAATGATGCGCTAATTACCGGACAATTACACGGGCGTTTAGGCGCGTGGAGGAGAAGGGTGCGGAGCCCTTCCGCGGGCCTTCGCGCGAAACGCCTCGCAACGCACGCGCGAGCGCACGCGGACACGCAAAGAAAAAGTCCCCCCGTGCAGCCTTTCACAGGCTGCTGGGACAAGTGCTGTTTAGCGAGTGCCTGCGAAAGCCGCGACGACGCACGGGGGAGTACAGCAATGTGGCCAGCAAGCAGCACGCCTGGCCGCCTTTATCTCCCCCAGTGGTGATGTTTAATACACACCGCATCAGACACTCAATTTAAGGCTGTTGTCGATCTGTTCTCAGGGAGGCTCAAGGCCGGTGCAGATATTCGCTTCTGATGTCGATTGTGAGCGTGAATCGAACTCGGGTCGCCAACTTTCGTAGCCTCGTGCGCTGACTACTACCGCTGCATATACGCGCCAGCCAAAAACCCACCCACACAGGCACACACGAACGTATACAGACAAAGACACCCCGTATAGCCTTAACAGACTGTTGGGGCAAGTGCTGTAAGCGAGCACCGATGAAGGCCGGTACGGCACACGAGGGGATTGGGTGGCCAACACCACGCCCGACCGCCTTTGTCTCCCTAGTGGCGATGTTTACACATCGCACCAGGTACTAATTTGAGGCTGAGTCGACCTAGGGGAGGCCCAGGACCGGTTCAGATAATCGTCACTGGTGTTGGCCGTGAGCGGGAATCGAACTCGGGACGTCCGGGATTCGTAGCGCAGCGCGCTAACCGCTACACCACCGCCCCCCACACACACAGGCACGCACACACACAGGCCCGCGCGTGGGATGTTGTGGTAATGAAACGCGAATGGTGATGGGGAGTAAACGCGGCGCTAGCAGCAGGACCTGGGAACGAGGTCACGAGCAGGAGTCGCGGCACGAGGAGCCGATCTCCTTCCCATGATGGATCTTCGTCCTCGGTGGGAAATGGTTTCATCGTCATCATCGTGGCGCCGTATTTTGCAAGCGTCACCATCGGCGGGTCATTTTTGCGAGGTGCTAGCCTCGTGATGCGCATGAAAACTTTCGCCCCCCACCGAGCTGTGTGCAGCACGAGGCACCAAATGTGCCCCCTACACCGCTACACCGGCCGAGGGGATCATGGTCAGCCCCCCCCCCCCATTTTCCTAGCAAGGGATTATTTCGCGAGTACACACGCCGCCTCGCCTCGCGCGTAATTACATTCTGCTCTGCCGCTCAGCATCCCCGTAATGCCTCCGTTACCAGGGGCAACCGCACCAACAGCCCTGGACCCCTCTCCTCGGGAGGGGGGGGGGCGCTCTACACGGGACGGAGCCGAGGGTGATGACGAGGGGAGGGTGGCCACTGCCTGCTGTGTATGGCGGTGGCGCCGGTTTACACCTTCGCCATGGCTGCTGACGCTTGATTAGTGATGGACACGAGAGAGCGCCCTGCTTTGTGGGCAGCATGAGGGCGGTCGAGGGCAGCACGTGGAGGGCAGCACGGGGAGGGCAGCACGTGGAGGGCAGCACGGGGAGGGCAGCACGTGGAGGGCAGCACGGGGAGGGCACGAGGCACGCGTCCGCTCACTCCGCACTCCCTTTCCCCAGGGAGGCCGGGGGAGGACAACAGATGGGCGCGATTGTGACTCTCAAAATCAACTCCCCCCTCCCACATTAAGAACCTCACCTCGTCTCCCGAGCAAACCCTTAATCGCTTCTAGCAACCTCCTCACCTACCCAAGCAACTCTCTCGCCTCCCCTGGGCCACCCTCCTCACATCCCCTAGCAACTCCCTCGCCTCCCCTGGGCCACCCTCCTCACATCCCCGAGCAACTCCATCGCCTCCCGTGGCATTCCCCACTGACGAAAGGGAAACGCGAGGCTCCAGGCGCCACCCCCACACACCGCTCCCCGACCGCACCACCGCCACCGCGACCGCCACACAACAGCAGCGCCACGCTCCGTCTGTCCCCCTGCCCATGAACAGCCACTGGGCGTGAGGAGGAGGGACTGCCCCCGCCTGCCCCCGCCTTTGCCCCGTCTGCCCTGAGCTGCTTTCCGCTCCCCAGGATTCATCTCCTGGCTGGAGCGCGGACAGAGTGGGCACCAGGTGGCCCCCACCCCTCCCCGACCTCCCCCCCCGCTCCCTCCCCTCGCATATGGATTATGGGAGGCGCTCGCTTTTGGCCAAATGAGCACAGATGGAGGAGATAACAAAGGGCGGCGGTTTAGATGCAACGCGGGGGGATGGGGGGAGCCCCCCCCCAAACTACCACACGTCACCCCCACTCCGACAAGTTCAATCCTAACCTTCTAACACAAGATCCAACCTTAATGCAAGTGCTGATTTGCAGCCGGAATAGTCTGGCCTTAAAGTGTCCGCATTTGGTTTAAATAAGCACACATAGCAAACACATGCCGACCTGTTCATAGGATTATAGGCATATAGGGCACAATAAGATGGTGTTTTATAGATAGACTTACGTTGCACTCTCGTGGTAGTGCCTTACGCCGACAATATCTACCCCAGGCCAGCCTAGCAGCGTTCCGGAAAATATCGATTGAGACGTTAATCCCCGGCTAAGACGAATCATATCTGTCCATAGGTCGATCTCTGACCCTCACCTCGAGCACAAACCCGAGCGCTCACCCCTCCACCGCTTTGCTCGGCGTCTCCCCTCGCGCTCACCCCTCCACCGCTTTGCTCGACCTCTCCCCTCGCGCTCACCCCTCCACCGCTTTGCTCGGCGTCTCCCCTCGCGCTCACCCCTCCACCGCTTTGCTCGACCTCTCCCCTCGCGCTCACCCCTCCACCGCTTTGCTCGGCGTCTCCCCTCGCGCTCACCCCTCCACCGCTTTGCTCGACCTCTCCCCCAGCGCTCACCCCTCCACCGCTTTGCTCGACCTCTCCCCCAGCGCTCACCCCTCCACTGCTTTGCTCGACCTCTCCCCTCGCGCTCACCCCTCCACCGCTCTGCTCGACCTCTCCCCTAGCGCTCACCCCTCCACCGCTTTGCTCGGCGTCTCCCCTCGCGCTCACCCCTCCACCACTTTGCTCGACCTCTCCCCTCGCGCTCACCCCTCCACCGCTTTGCTCGACCTCTCCCCCAGCGCTCACCCCTCCACTGCTTTGCTCGACCTCTCCCCTCGCGCTCACCCCTCCACCGCTCTGCTCGACCTCTCCCCTAGCGCTCACCCCTCCACCGCTTTCCTCGGCGTCTCCCCTCGCGCTCACCCCTCCACCACTTTGCTCGACGTCTCCCTGAGCCCGGGGGAAGCAAGGCGAGGGCGTCTGGTGAGCGTGTTGGGGGTTTGGGCGCGATGAGATCAGCGAACAGCAGGCAAAGACGGTGGGTGGCGAAACCCAGGAGCGGGGGACAGAGAGACGGGGAGAGAGGCAAACAGGGAAGGGGGAGATGAGAGGGAGCGAGCGAGCGAGACGAGGAAGAAGGGCCGATAGTGAGGAGAGTGCGGAGCGGCGCGTGGGCCGGTGTTTGTTTTTTGTTGCCATAAAGGCTCGTACATTTGAAAGACTCCAGCGCAATTGCCGCTGGAGGAATAAAATTATAAAAGTAAAAAAGAAAGAGAGATGATGGGGGAGGACAAGGAGAGACGAGGAGGAGAAGAGACGAGGAGGAGGATGATGATAAGAGAGGAGGAAGGATAAGAGAGGAAGAGTAGCATGACAGACGATGAGAGGGGGAGGAGGAGGAAGGCGTGAGAGAGATACGTGGAGAGACGACAAAAAAGAGAGGGGGGCAGACATGAGGATGATGAGGAGGGGACAGGCGAG